ATAGGTAAGAAATATTATGTATGATAACAATAGGTAAGAAATATTATGTATGATAACAATAGGTAAGAAATATTATGTATACGCTTTCATTATATACACAATAAGATTAAAGAAAGTTCGCAGTAACAATAAGATAATCATATTTAGTAACAATAAGTTAATCATATTTAGTAACAATAAGATAATCATATTTAGTAATAATAAGCTAATCATATTTAGTAACAATAAGATAATCATATTTAGAAAAAGAAGTAACAAAAATGGTGAATACGACAAAGTAATGTAGGGGAAACTAATATAATTTAACTAATAATGTATTGTTATACCATGGAGGCTTCTCACTGACGTTATAAGCGTCTTAATAACTATAATACGGCGCCATTTTGAATAATAAGCGATCTTTCAATATGGTGGACAGAACAAAGCAAATGTATAAGTATGCCGGCATACAATAGTATTTGAGACACGTTAGAAACTTGACAGAATTGTCTTTAATTGATAAAACTAACCCATACACCGCTGATAAAACTAAATGGAGCCATAGTGTAAAATCATTACCAGACTAGCTGGAGTACCCGTCTCCTGGACGGAAGTTATGTAAATTCATGATTAATGAAATGTTATCTTAGGACATGAAAAACTGCTTCTCTTATATGTAATTGTAAAAAACGCCCATAAAAACCGCAAAACGCAAAATGCAAAACTGAAAATTTGTATGTAACCCCCACATGGACCTAATGAACCTCCATACCAATTTTGGTAAAGATCCATCTACACCCTGCGAAGTAGTTACATAGACATACAACAGACAGTGCTATTATATTTATGTAGATATGACATCCACAGGCGTGATATATATATATCTGATATAAACAACAAATACACATACATTCTAAAAGAGCTAAGAACCTTTAAGGGTACAGAGGCCCAGTTACTTGGTTGCTAGATGGGTTCAACCAAAGTAATTAACAGTTCCATTACATCCAATCCAGCCATGCATAGGTGGGTACCTTATCCAGGGCTCTTTTCCATATGTACAGACCTGGTAGTTACTTATCTTGGTGCTGTTGCAGGCTAACCTCTGAGGAAAGAGTCATCAGTGACTTTTTTTATGTAGAACTTGTAATAATGTAATTCACAGATGTTTGCTGAGTCTTGTTTCCATTTGTTGTAGATGGAACAAACAAACTCTTCCATAGCTTCCAGAATATCCTCACTGACTTTTTCAATGTTGCTGATAATTTCCATGAATTTAAATGCTTCGTGAGAAGCAGCAATGAGTTTAACCTTACAACAGATGTAAATGCCCTGGTGGAGGCACACCCTATTAAAGTCTGGAAGCCTGGAAGGAGCTGACACAATTCTTACACAAGTAATTCTGCAACTGATGAACATTCTTTTGTGCATTTCTGAACCAAAATTGTCTTGCATCAAGAATTTGATTCTCTGAAAAGTTATACACTAATTGAATGAAGGCATCTGTATCAGAAGGAGCTATAACAACATTTTATATATCTGGTAAAAATCAGCGGTATGAGGCAAAAGGCGAGCAATCGGCTTCTTCCTGTTGCTTTCCCAATGACTGAACGTGATTTCCTTTCTTATTCAAAGATGTCTCATCATAGCCACTAGCTAGCAAAACTTTCTAGTCACCTTTCAGCTTCAATGGTATTGAATTCATCCACTCAGTATTAAAAGCTGCACCATTATTGTCTTGTTGCCTTTCCTGCTGACAAGTTTGGCTACTCTCTTTGCACATCTTTGGTCCAAATAGTGTAATCTCTAGCTCTTGAAATTTGATACATAGCATCTGTTCATACCCGTCGAATAAAACACAAATACGATTGCAGTTGTTGGTCTGCAATGTATGTCTGTCACCATCTTTGACAAAACTTTAGCCACATGTCCTCAAATCAGACCTTTTGGTTGAAGACTAAGTCATCAATTATCCATGTTGAACCGTCTTCAGCTGGGAAGTTCTGAACTAAATGGGGCA